CTCTTGAGACTGATGCTTCCGGGTCCGGTATCGGTGCGGTGCTAAGTCAAGCACGCCACCCCATTGCTTATTTTTCAAAAAAATTGTGCCCTCGAATGCAAAAGCAATATGCGTATGTCCGGGAACTCTACGCTATTACAGAAGCTTTGGCGAAATTTCGTCACTATTTGATTGGTCATAAATTTGTTATCAAGACTGATCAACGCAACCTCAAATCCTTCACTGATCAGTCGATTCAAACCCCCGAACAACAGCATTGGCTTCACAAATTTCTGGGATATGACTTTACCATCGAGTATAAACCGGGAGTGGATAATATTGCAGCTGATAGTCTCTCGCGTTCATTCTGTCTAGCCCTATCAATACACACACCTCAGCTTATTTCCATGATTCATTCAGCTGCGAATGAGGATTCTGTGTTGGCAGAGATTAGAAATCAATGCTTGTTGTGTACATGTCCTACACCTCACTATCAAGTCAAGCATGATATGTTATTCTGGAAGAATAGATTGGTTATTCCTCAACAGCCTGAATTGATCAAACGCATTCTCACTGAGTTTCATTCTTCAACCTTAGGAGGACATGCTGGAGTTACACGCACCAAAGCGCGCATCGCGACTCAATTTTTCTGGGCCACTATGACTAAGGATATTAAGGAGTTTGTGTCACAATGTTTAGTTTGTCAACAAGCCAAACACTCGACAACCTTACCTGCTGGATTACTCCAACCTCTTCCTATTCCACAACAAATTTGGGAAGACTTGTCGATGGATTTCATTACGGGACTGCCACCATATAATTCTTACATTGTTATTCTTGTGGTTGTAGATTGTTTATCCAAATATAGTCACTTCATTCCCCTCAAGGCTGACTATAACAGTCACAAGGTAGCAGAAGTCTTTCTCCATAAAATTGTTAAACTTCATGGGTTTCCTAAGACTATTGTGTCTGACCGGGATCGTGTGTTCACAAGCCAATTTTGGCAACAATTATTCAAACTCAGTGGCACAACATTGTCTATGAGCACGGCATACCACCCTCAAACCGATGGCCAATCTGAAGCTGTAAATAAATATTTAGAACTTTATCTTCGTTGTTTTACTAGCGATTCTCCTCATGCTTGGTCCAAATTACTGCTTTAGGCAGAGTTCTCATACAATACTTCCTTCCGCACAAGTATTGGTATGACACCATTCAAAGTGGTTTATGGACGAGATCCTCCGAGCCTTATTCGCTATGAAGTTAACAATGGTGATCCACCATTGTTACAACAGCTGTTGACGGAGCGAGATGATACACTGGCTGCTCTGAAGGCTAATTTAATGCGAGCTCAACAAATCATGAAGAAATTTGCTGATAATAAACGACGATTTGTTGAATTTAAGGTGGGTGACATGGTGTTGGTCAAGTTGCAACCTTACCGTCAATACTCAATAGCTCTTAGGTGCAATCAGAAACTCAATATGCGTTACTTTGGCCCCTTTCCTGTCATGGAGCGCATTGGTCAAGTTGCTTACAGGCTGATGCTTCCCACTACTGCGAAAATTCACCCTGTGTTCCATGTGTCTGCGTTAAAATTATGCAAAGGTGACCACCATACACAGCTGTTACCCCTTCCATTAACTACTACTGAGCAAGGACCATTGATTTTGCCTCACGCTATTGTTAACCATCGCACTGTAATCCAAAATGGCCAACCAATTCAACAGGTTCAAGTCCAGTGGGATACTTTGCCGACGGAAGTCACTTGGGAAAACTGGGATGAATTGAAGGTTCTGTATCCTAACCTTGAGGACAAGGTCCTTGTTAATGAGGGGAGTAATGCTATGAGCTGGCAAAATAATACTGTTGGAGGAAAAGGATAAATAATAAGCAATAAAGGACATATGGCAAATGATCCTAACATTGTGGGACCAATGAGAGGCAAGAGAGTGAAAACCCCTAACATAAAATATTCTACGTGTCAGCATATATAGCAAGGAGGATGCAGTGAGAAAAGGAGACAGCAAGTGACACTATTCTCTCTTCCTCTATTGGCATTCCTTGTGAATGATTTCTCTTACTGTTCTATTGCATCAAGTGTTCTGTTTCATTCCAAGAAGGATTGAGAAATTATTCTCAATCTGGTATCTCATAGATTCTTCATTGTACTAACTTTTATTATAATGAATTAAATCTTTGTGAAGAATTTGTCTGCATAATTTTTCATCTGTTACCACTTTCTGTTGCATAGCATAACAACCCTTACATAATCCTCTTGATAAAAATCCAAAAAATATATTTTAATTTTATTAATAATCAAAATAAATAAAAAATATGTTAGTATTATCTCTTAGATTTATATTATCCTTATATTCTCTGCTCATGTTTATTTTTTCTTTTTATTTATTATTATGTAACTTGTTTAATATTATATTTTTATTTTTATAACACTTTAATTATTTCTCAATTGTTTAAAATGTAACCACCATTCTTGTGTGTAATTATTTATCTTGTGGCTTATGTTGTTCTCACTTAGGTAGATTAGCTAATTAGATAAAAAACAAAACAAAAAAAAAATATTAAATCAATCTTTCAAAAAATCAAAGGACTTGGTTAACACCAAAATTCATTTTCAAAAACGTTGGTCAACACCAATTGATCACATCTTAACTCCACCCGATTATCCAATTTGTAAGTCAATTGCTTCAGGCATCGTCATCAACCTTTTCTTTCCAATCATTTCACTTCTAACCCTTTCGTAATCATAAATAAACCTTGATCAACATCGAATGTCTTTTTCCAATAAAAAACTCAAAATACCTAAAAATATTCAAACACTTTTCATTAATAAAAGATGAAAGAGGAGCAGGGTATAGTCAATGTCTCCCAAGAAGAAGAACACGAGATGTAGTTCTCGACTGTTCGAGCTCTCTCGTCAATTCAAAACACTTTAACACATCAAACTCTTTTTTTCTCGTCGTCGTGCGATTAATCCTAAAACCTTTTCATAAACGCGAGATATTGTGTCTTGAGACGACACAAAACATTGCTTCGTCCACAAACTACTTGAGTTGAGATAATAGGCGTTTCCCACGAATGTTGATTTGTAAATGCATTCTGTTGTGATGCAAATGTCCGCTTCGCACCTGTTTTGGATAAAACAATATTTTATGTCGAATGCGACTAAATATTTTTCGTTAAAATCGACCACCAAACAAACATTTGTTAGTTCGAACTAAGAAAGCTTTAATTTCACCATTGTACTATGAGAATACGTAGGCATGAGATTACGAAGTCTTGTCGAGACCCTTAGTAATAAAAACCTTTAGGTCCCTTTCTTTTTTCTTTCTTCTTATAATAAGTTGAGAAGCCTAACTTTTTAACAAACAATAACACGCAAAACTAACCTAATGGTTCCCGTTGAGTACAACGGACGTTAGGGGGTGCTAATACCTTACCCTTGCGTAACTGACTCCCAAACTCAGATATTGGTTGCGATGACCATATCATTGTCTTTTCTTTTAGGGTTTTATTCGATATTTTCCCTTTCCCTCTATGAGAATAAATAAAGATCGGTGACGATTCTGTTAAGTCCATCCTGCAAGCGTGCGATTGCGCTTCGCAAGCTCGTTCTCATTTTTTGAGGTACGACACTTATGTGTTGACAATATAGAAAGAAAGATTTCCTATCAATAATCACATTCATCGCACGTAACACTCAAGTGTTTCAGTGTCCAAGAATGATCATAATGACACCTCCGAATAAACGTTTGATGTTCCAAACACCAGAAGCATGTAGAAGAGTGATCAATATCCGATGACGAAATTCTACAAACCCTCACATTGATATTTAAGCACGAGGGCTTAGATGGGAACTATTGTGGGAGGACCATATCTCCCTAGAACCGACCATCTTGAGATAGACCGCTTTGGAATAAGACTTACCAACCAACCACACAATCATGATTCCGGAATTTTCGCCTTAACACAAGATTACCTTGCACCTCGCTGCAGGAGATTTTTATATCTACCACATCCAACAATCCCTCTGCATTTTACGGCCGAAAGATAGCGAGACTGTTATCTTTCTTTCATACATATATATATATATATATATATATATATATATATATATATATATATATATATATATATATATATATATATATATATATATATATATATATATATATATATATATGACGCTATTTTAGATAATAAATTTCAAACACATTTTAAATACTCTCTACTATTTACATACTGAACGAAACTTGAAGATACATCCTCACTCCGCCACATCAAAACTTGAAGATACATCCTCACTCCGCCACATCAAAAACTCTACTTCGCCGCATCTTCTGGATCTATCTCTATTTCTTATTACAGAACGAAACAATACCCCAACAGCAGGTTGAAAAGCCACCCTAGATTCTGATGGAACAACTCTATCATAAATTTTAATTTTAATTTTTAATTTTTATATAATATATTAAGAATATTTCTATTCGGAAATTTTATCTACTTCTGTCTATGCATAATGCATTAATATGCATGTATCAAATCAAGGAATATATCCCACTTAATTTTGAAATGATAGAGACTGGCACTGCAACATAGATTATGTCATCTAGCTTGTTGTTGCTACGCATCTCCGCCATAAAATATATATAAATGTTATTCCAAAATTAATGGGCATGCATGGATACGTAACTCAGAATCTTCAAATCTCACAGTTTCACTCTGGCTAATTTAAACCCTATTTTATTTTCTCTCTCTTAAATGGAAACTTATAATTAGAGACATAGAGTAGTTGTAAATACTTCGAAGACAAAGTTATAGAACTCAAAATTATATTGAAAGTAACCAAGATTATTCTAATACAATAATGCATATTGTTAAAGCCTCAATGTCTCACAAAAATAGAGAACTTGGTTAATTATGATATTATAAAAATAAAAGGGCCATTTTTGGATGTTTGCATTTGCACTAGAATATGAGCTTCCATGATATGTATTTTCCTAAAGCCAAAGAGCACCAGCATCTCTAAGCATTTTCTTGAGTGAGCCATTGAGATGAAGGGTCATGACTATGTTGGCTGAACCAACAAACCTGCCACCAATGAATACTGCCGGAACACTAGGGTTACATCCTAATCTTATGAGAGCCCATTCCATTTCCTTCCCTCTTTTATCTTCATCTAGCTCATAGATTGCTGGACCAACCCCTTGCTCATAAAATAGCCTCTTGATTGCATGGCTCATCCCACATGAACTCTTGCTAAAGATCACCACCGCCTTTTGCGACGCCAATTTCGATACTCGATCCATCTAAATGTATAAATATGAAGTTTTTGTTACTTTTTTAAAGTATACAATTATATATTGATTATATATTGCAATATATGACTTGATTCTGATCTCGAGTTTGAAGAAAACCCTAAAATTTTAAAGATCTGATTGATTTAAGAGAGGGTAAAACAACTCAACGAAGACGTGTGAGTGTTTGTATTAGAAATAAAAAGATAGTTGTTAGTGATGTGATTGAAATTAAGTTGAAGAATGTGTGTATTTATATAGATGGAGGAGTGAGAGAGGACATGTATAGATATATCTAGTCACGAGAGGGCAATAATATTTGGTATGATCCAGCCTACAGGGATTAAAAGGTGAAAGGTTCTAATTCCGTGATTTGATGGGGACTTGTGTGGTGTTTCACTTCATTATATACACATGGCTACTTCTACTTGTTCTTGTGATAAAGAATCTCTAGCATAGGCCCATAAAGATAAGCCAATCAAGGCTAAAAATGGGACCATGAGAATTAGAGTGAGAAAATGGGTGAGGAATGTGAAGAATAGTTCCTTTTTGTGGATGAAAATTCCATTGATTACGTGGGTTTCATGGTGCGTAAAGAATGTCAACTTTGGGGAAAATAATTCTAATTAAATTATATGAGTATATTAAAGATAATAGTAATTGAGATGTCCATCATGCATGACGATAATAATTTTGATTTATACAGCTATATATTATGTCATATAAATTTTATACTTTTTATTTGTCGAGTTAGGTTTAAACACATCAAAGATAAAAACTGATAAAATATAAATTATAAGAGAAGACAATTATTTCAATCAAATTTTTAATATTAATTATAATCTATGAACATCACACCTCGAATACAATATCGACATCGACACGAAAACACTTGTATTAATTTGAAAAAACTAATAAATTAAAGGTAATTATAATGTAAGTAGGTATTGTCGGTCTTCGACATAAATATAAACACATCATTTTTCAGAGGTGTTAATGCTATATAGATTATAATGTATTAACACAAATATTTGAATAGATCAATTTTTTAAAATTCATGAAGTTTTTAGCTATCATGATGAAAACTAGAAGAAGAATTGAATTCAATGAAGAATATGCAAGCAAAGTGCAATAGTTCATTGATTGAATACAATCTAGTTATAAGGAGTCTATTATAAAAGTTACAAACCCTCTAAGTGATGTTAACAAACTAACAATCAATGATAATTAACTTTGGTTGAGTTATACTTCTCTACATTTGGAGCATGATGGTAATGGTGTAACTCAAGGTATTAACTTGCTGACAAAGGTATTTCACTAAGAGCTTTAACATCCTCCCTTAAACTTAGCATGATATATATCAAATATGTTAACTTTAGATATGAAAAAATTAAAGTTCTTAGGTGACAAAGATTTTGTGAAGAAATCTGTAATATGAGCTTGTGACTTAACAAAAATAAGCTTGAAAATTCCTTGCAACGAAGAAGACCTGTATCTTTCAACAAATCCAAGAAATACTTCCATTGGCAAATGCCAATGCCAATTTATGAATGAACAACCTATATTTCTAGGAAATATTTTAGCTTGCTAGGATCTTTGATTTTGAATTCAACATCAAGTGTGGATTTGATTCTTTCAATTTCATCTATGGAATTTCCTGCTATAATAACATCATTTACATACAGTAACAAGCAACGAAGTCTGATTCTTTGTGAAATGTGAAGAGGGGTAATCTCAACTGAATTCTTTATAATCTTGAGAAATCAAGAAGCCATCCAATTTTTTATACCACTTCTTGTTGGAATGCTTTAGACCATAAAGTGACTTCAAAAGCTTGCACACTTGATTTAGTTTTGGACTAGTAACTCCTTGTGGAACTAACATGTACACTTCATCATGTAACTTTCCATGCAAAAAATGCATTGTTTACAGCCAATCGATGTAGATGCCATGAATTTATGGAAGCCAATTCTAACAAAGTTCTCATAGTAGTATCAAAGAAATTAAACCATTCAACTTGATTATATCCTGTGGCTACTAATCTAGCCTTATACCTCTCAATGGTACCATATGCTTTATGTTTCACTTTGTAAACCCATTTTCTTTCAAGAGATTTAATAGTATGTGGTGGATCAACAAAAATCCAGTTTTTGTTATGCTTCAAAGCATCTAGTTCAGAATTCATAGCCTTGATCCAACAATCATGTTTGCTTGCTTCTTTTAACTGCTTGACAAAGAAGTAGCAGTCATAGACAAAGCAAAATGTTACTGTGAAGAAGATAGATTATGAATGAAAATGGTTAATAGGATATAGTATACTTGAAAATTCTTGATCAACTAGTTCTTTTGAGAGTATGCATATGCAGTATGACATATGGTTTGGCTTTTGTGTAGTTATTGTTGATCTTCTTAAGGTTTGTAGTTAAATTATTTTATCATTTGGTAGTTATGTTTCATTTGTTTGACAAAGTGGAATATGGTCATTGTTGAAACAAGTTTGATTATACAACTATTTCTGAATTTTATTGATACCAAAGTATAAAAGAAAAATTTTGTTGTATGGAAATTGGTTAAGTGTGCGGACTCTGAGCTTACTTAAAGCGAAGAAAAGCTAAATATGACCTAGAAAGAAGGAGAATCAAAAGATAGATCTGAATAATCCAGGATGCTGAAAAATGTTGATCATATCATACTCTGAACTCTGGTCCTAGAGAGACTCTGAATATTGAAACTATGTACTCTAATAAAAGAGACTCTAAATATTGAAACTATGTACTCTAATAAAAGAGACTCTGAAGTTTGGACTTCATCAGAATCTAAATCGATGCAACTCTTGTAGAAGTTCTGAAGATATTGTCTACTATGGTTATCACTAGTAAAAACTTATGAAGAAGACACATTTGATACCCTCTATGTCATCCTAACCTTATCTAGTCATTAAACTCTGATAGATTTTAAACTCTGAACATTTTATTTATCACTTGTATTCCAAGACATTGTTTTAGAATATTTTAATGGGCGAAGAGTTACTATGCATTGTGCTAATCAAACATCAAATCAATAGTACTACTTCAAATGACTATAAAAGGTTTTCCACCTACCCAAGATTTTGTGATGTACTTACCTACTCTACAACAAAGGTGTACCTCAAAGAAAACTCCAATTCTGGCCTCCAACGGATCTAATTCTTATTATATAAAAAGGTCAAAGGATTTATGTCAAAAAGATATAATAGATGAAAAATAAAGAAAGTGGCTCTTGAGCTGAAACTTCGTAATGAAGAATATCCATTAAAGAGAATCATCGTCAAGAAAACGGCTCTTGAGCATTGACTTCGTAATGAAGCATTCTTTGTAAACACAATACTATATTATTAACCTTGGTTAAGTTCTTAAGCGACTAGTGTTAGTCTGAATACTCAAGAAGTCTTAGACAATTTATCTTGGAGTTAGTTTCCTTGAGTGACTAGTGTCGCACCGCAAAAAAAAATAAAGTTGAAAATTATTTATTCCAAAGGAAAGGTAAAATATCGATAAAACCCTTTAAAGAAAAAGAAAATGGTCATCTCAACCAAATTTGGGTTTGGGAGTCGGTTATGTAAGGGAAAGGTATTAGCACCCCTCACATTTGTTGTACTCAACGGGGACCAATTTGATTATTTTGCGTGGATGCATGTTACTATCTAAAGGTTACTTGTGATTAGTCTTAATTGAGGGGAAAATAAGTTTTTAATTAATGTGCTCGCCAATATTTTGAAATATTGTACCTACATATTCTCATAGTGCAATGAGAAAATTAGAGGTTCATAGTTTGTGGGATATAAAGTAAGTGTTGGTTGGTTATTTTTATTGAACGATGTTAACGTTCACGTTCTAGCAGTTAAAATTTGTTTGTATACTTGCGTGTGGGAGGTTTAAGCATTGTTTGTATTACGATAGAACGAAAATATCATGTCCTTTAAGAAAATATTTTGAATGCCCTATGCGAGAAATTTAATTTGATTGGTTGTGGTTGATTATAGTCTGAAGATGAATATTAAGACAGAGAGCTCTACATCAGTATCTGAACATTTGGGGAGAGAGAGTCTACATCCTCCCCCTTTTTCTTCCTTTAACTATAAAAATTACCTTGATTTGAATTGCGCTAAAGTCTATGAATGGAGGTGAATACTTTGAACAACTAGTTCATTCGTCTTGTATCCAAAGATAACCAGAATAAGAATAGGAATACACCCTCTTATTCCTTCTCCATTTCTTAAGGATCATAGCGCACAATTCATATTGTACTTTTTAGGTATTTTTGGTTTATTTTCAAAACAAAATCATAGTTTTAAATGCTCATTGAATGTGATCATGTACTGTTTTGACTTGATTATAACTTTGGATACACTTTCATTTGATTATTTTCCTATTTTTGGTGGAATTTCCAAGTTGATGTTGTTCTACCCTTGTACCATTAGTGCCTTTGACCTAATTTCTCAAGGTGCTTTCTTGCATGACCTTAGTGGATGTTCATAAGTTGTTACATGTTTGATTTGATTTGGTTTGAATTCTTGGTTTCATATTATGTTGGTCATTGTTTGAACTCTCTTCTTTCCTTTCTTCATATGAATCATCTTTGATCCTTTATGAGTGGTTTGAATGGTGTTTGTCTAACTCTTTTTGAGCATGATCCTTTTTGATTTTGTTTGATATCATGAAATTAAATTGATATGATACATTTGTGTTTGATTCTGACCTTGATCTTATAATATGTCTTACTTTATCATTTTGTGCTTTTGTGCTTTGCTTGAACACTTCTTTTTCTTTGAGGATGACCATGATGTATGCTTGCTTAGCCTTGATGCATGTTTTGGATTTAATCCTTGTTGTTTCTCTTGTGTATTAATGGGTTGATGTTTAGTTGATGTTCATGATTATGTTGCTGCCTTTACTTGGTTTCTCACTCTAATCTTACATGGTGAATCTTTTGAAGTGTGTTTTGCATGAGTCATGTGTGGACAATTGTTTGAG